AATCAGCATTCTTTATTGGAAAGTGAGGGGGATTGATCCTCTGTAGTCATCCCCGATTGTATTCTAGCGCTTAGTAGTCATAAGGAAGAACAATGATGTTTGCTGGCATGATGATGTGAAGGCATGTTCTATCATAAAGCGCTTTATCATATTGTCTGACATCCTGTTTCCTGGCTGGGCAGTGATGTCCTTGCCTGGGGAACCCAGTGTTTCCAAGCTGCCGGACGGTGACCCGCTCTTTCAGGAGCACGAAGCAGGAAGTCAACTCTGTATGGTTGAATGTGACCTCAACAGACAAGACCAGAGCACACATGCTACACAGAGGGTAACATGGTAGAAACAACCATGGGCAGAAACCCACTTGAATTCTCTCTGTTTAACTGGCATTATGACAGACATCTCCCATCGACAGGTCAAAAGAGTTGATGGATGAAGTAGATCAAAGTAAAACACTTTTCAATTCATTTGGATTCCAATTAATTGGGCAAATAATCTCAGTAATTAGAAGGTATGAAGAGATGTTGCATGTCACTCCTAGATGTGAAAGTGCCCCCCTTTTTTTCTCGCTACTCCTCGGTTGCTTGTTTCTGGCACATACATATTCACACCTAACAGTCCCACACTTGCGAGAGTTGGACTCAGTTCAGTGGATCAAGGTTTATGCTGTGAAGGTCCATAGTGAGAGAGTGTAGTGCAGTGTGTACTGGCTGTATGCCCTGAGCGAGGTACTGTGGAAAGGTGTTTTACAGGCCAAATGAAATGAAGTTCAAAGAAGCCCACAGCAGTGTATAGAGAGTTTATTGCTCCACAAATCAACATGAAGGCCTAGCAGAGGTTATCTCCTGGTCTGTATAGAGAGGCTGTCCATAAACATTGGGCCCCGGCTCACGGCTCAGACAATCACTGCCAATGTCCTCAGAGGCCCAGGATGGGGTGTATCTCAATAGTGTAAATGACTTCCTCTCCTCATCTCCTCTCCTTAATCTGAGCAGATGTGTAATCAATAGGATGAGCAGCCTACTTAAGACGGTTTAGATGCACCCGTAGAGTCTGTCTCGCTCTCCTGGTTCCAGAGCTGGAGCATGAAAGTGATTTCCCATGGCTGCCACTGCGCCCTGGTCACGCTTTTCTCTCGCTCACTCACTCTCTCTCACACACACTTGCCTACCGGGCAATTCCACGCTAACGGAATTGCGCTAAGACTCAGATCTTTCACTTAAAATGCATGCCAACCAAACATTTTGTAGTACTTTTTTTTGTGTGGTTTGTGACTACTATGATTTCCCATTGTAGCCAATTAAATTGCAGAAATTCCGTTACCAATTTTGGGGAAATTCTGTTGCCGATATAGTAACTGATTTTATTTTTATTTTAATCACTTAATAATTCATAAACAAAATTGATATCAGTAAAAATACTAATTGATAGGTCTACCTTTACTTGTTACTTCTGTGACCTTTCATTATCCTCCCTTCTCATGAGGGAGAGAAGTTAGAAAATATCTTAAAGATATGTTGGTTTTTGGTAACAGAATTACAAGGCACAAGGCAATATTTCTTAAACTTACAGAAGGTAAACATTTCTCCAAAACGAAATATGTGTTGATTATAGTTGGCAGGGGTCTTAACTTCAACATTATTGTGTTTTGATGTATTCTGGTTCCTTTTAAGACTTTTTCTGGTAGCTGTTTTCTAAGACCCATTTCCTGACCAGAAATCAAAGCCTTTGCTTATTCTTAATTTTTAGTATAGAAAATTGTTGAAAAAAGTATACAGTGCATTCAGAAAGTATTCAGACCCCTTGATTTTTTTTCCATATTTTGTTACGTTACAGCCTTAAAATCCTCATCAATCTATACACAGTACCTCATAATGTCAAAGCGAAAAAGGTTTGTAGAAATTTTTGCAAATGTATTAAAAATAAAAAACAGAAATACTTTATTTAATAAGTATTCAGACATTTTGCTAAGAGACTCGAAATTGAGCTCAGGTGCATCCTGTTTCCATTGATCATCATTGATGTTTCTACAACTTGATTGAAGTCCACCTGTGGTAAATTCTATTCATTGGACATGATTTGGAAAGACACACATCTGTCTATATAAGGTCCCACAATTGACAGTGCATGTCAGAGCAAAAACCAAGCCTTGAGGTTGAAGGAATTGTCCGTAGAGCTCAGAGACAGGATTGTGTCGAGGCACAGATCTGGGGAAGGGTACCAAAAAATGTCTGCAGCATTGAAGGTCCCCAAGAACACAGTGGCCTCCATCATTCTTAAATGGAAGAAGTTTGGAACCACCAAGACTCTTCCTAGAGCTGGCCGCCCGGCCAAACTGAGCAATCGGGGGAGAAGGGCCTTGGTCAGGGAGGTGACCAAGAACCCGATGGCCCAGAACGTAAAATAACGTTATTAACCGGTTGCCTTGCTTTTAAAAATAACGGTTTTGTTCCGGAACAGTATAGATCACTTTTGTTTCCAGTTCTGTTTCTTTTCATCAAATCGTTTAGTTATGTTCCGGTTTTCTGTTCTTTTCCCTGAACCGTTTCCAACCGCTGGCTCCTATGAACTTCACATGTTGGTGCTCATTGGGTCCTTTTACATGGAAATGACCTGCCTTCCCTCAGACTGTCTGCTGCGGAGAGGAAGCACAGAACACTAGGAGTGAACATAGTTATGTGCAGCCCTGATTTCTATAGGCCTCTTGAACAATGCCTTTTGAGATTGGTGCCATCCTAGAGATAATCCACTTTACCGCAAAGTTTCCACAACTGTGAGAAGACCCGTTGTCTCAGTCTCTCACACACACACACAAGGCGAGATGGCCCTGTTTATGTCAGAGCCAGTCTTCATGTAAAAGAGAAGAGGGCAAAAAATATGTGTGTGTGTGGGGGGGGGGGGGGGCAGGCAAAGTGCATAGAGGAGGGCTAAGTGGCAGACTGTCTGTGCTGCTGGACGGGGCCTGGCACTGCCATGTGGGTTGGGCTGGCACTGGATGCATTGTTCCCCCATCGCAGCCAGGGATTTCTCTTCCCAGCACTACAGGGACAAAGCAGAGGGAGGGAGTGCGAGGGGGAGAGTAGTGATAGCTATTAGCTAGGGCATCGAGGGGGAGAGTAGTGATAGCTATTAGCTAGGGCATCGAGGGGGAGAGTAGTGATAGCTATTAGCTAGGGCATCGAGGGGGAGAGTAGTGATAGCTATTAGCTAGGGCATCGAGGGGGAGAGTAGTGATAGCTATTAGCTAGGGCATCGAGGGGGGAGAGTAGTGATAGCTATTAGCTAGGGCATCGAGGGGGAGAGTAGTGATAGCTATTAGCTAGGGCATCGAGGGGGAGAGTAGTGATAGCTATTAGCTAGGGCATCGAGGGGGAGAGTAGTGATAGCTATTAGCTAGGGCATCGAAAGCACGCTCCAGTTCCTCTGAGGACCCTTACATTTTTTTAATTCTGTTTTTTTCTCTCCCTCCATGGCCTCTTTCTTGTAATGGAAACCAGGATGAGGAAAATCCAGGCCCTTGGACTCAGAGACGACTCCTGGCTATAGTCCTAGTCAGGGATTCTGTGAACTAAACCCTCACTGCAACTCTGCTTTCTGTTTCAGCTGTGGAGAGGTAACCTGAAGGTAAAGGATCTTGTTTCAGATTATGGTGTTTACTCTACGTAGCATAAACTTTGATAACTAGCAATGTAAATATGTATCAAGTTCAACTCCAGGCGACAACCAGATGTTAGGGTATGGGGAGCCCATGTTAACGTGTAGCCTAGGTGTGAGCTCCCATATGAACTTGCATGGAACTAGGCCTACTCAAGTTCTGAGTTTGACATTACGCCTAGCCCAGGGGTGTCAAACATACGGCCCGCTTTTATTAAAAAAGTATATATACTATATACCGGATTCAAAAATTAGAATCTTTCAATCTAAATTATTATATAAAATTCTTGCTACCAATAGAATGTTATTTATATGGGGGATACAATCTTCCCAGCTCTGCAGATTTTACTGTGAAGAGACAGAATCATTAGATCATTTGTTTTGGTTCTGTCCATTTGTAGCTTGTTTTTGGACACAGGTCCAGGAATGGCTAAAGGATTGCAATATTTACCTGGAGCTAACCTTGCAGATAGCATTACTGGGTGATCTGAAAAGTCATAGTCAATCAATCAATAATATAATAATACTTTTAGCAAAAATGTTTATTTTTAATTCACAATCTGTAGAAGCAATGAGAATAGAAAGGTTCAGAACTTTTGTAAAACATCACAGTACAGTTGAAAAATATATGGCAAATAGAAATCCTATATGGATGGTGTTAAGAGATAGATGGGAGGTGTTGAATAGAGTTGAAGGATGGGACCAATAACAACTAACAACAAATAATAAAGAAAGGCGGAGTGGGGACGCTGTCCATCTTTCACCCTGAGACACCCTCTCGGACAAGGCCATGTCAAATCTTGTGGAACCATGTCAGTTTTCCCAATTATATTTCAATGGCTCTGGGGCTGTAGCCTTTTAGCCAGTAGTTGAATTGAGCCTAGGTGTTTGCTTCTGTGTAGAGCATAGGTGCTTGTTAAAGGAGCAGTTAACTGTGCGAATTACAGAAATATGGTAGCTTTTGCTAACCCCCCCCCCCCCCCCCCCCCCCCCTCCTTATCTCCCTCTCAGGTGCTGACTGTTTTGGACCAGAGATTCAGGTCCCCCAACTTGGCACTCCACGGACCTGAAACTGGTGACGGGACGGAGGAGTGGACACAAACCAAGGACCCCCCTCGCTACAGCCAGCCGTGTTGGATGCAGCTGAATAACAAGCTGAGAAAAAGAAAGAGCATTGGACTCTCCTGCTCCATTCAGAGGACTGCCATCCATGTGGTGGTATGATGAGACTGTGAGTCAGGAGAAACACAGTCAGACGGGAGCAGAGTGATAGAGGGCGAGAAAGAAAGAAAGAAAGGTAGGTGAGTGAGGGTGCGAGGTGAGTGTCAAGGTGCCCTCCTGACCCCTAGGTGATAGCACCAGTCAGGGCAGCAAGATGACGAGCCTGTTCAGGCGAAGCAGCAGTAATGGAGGCTCCAGGGGAGGTGAAGGAGGAGGGGGAGGTGGCGGTGGTTCTACCCCAGGAGAGCTCAACAACAGCCGGCCTAACCGACAGGTGCGGCGCCTGGAGTTCAACCAGGCAATGGAGGACTTCAAGATCATGTTCCCCACCATGGATTACGAGGTCATCGAGTGCGTCCTGCGCTCCAACAACGGGGCGGTGGACGCCACCATCGACCAGCTCCTCCAGATGAGCATCGACGGAGACGGATCGGATGACAGCTCTGACTCCGATGACAGCATCCCACCAGAGGTCAGTCAGTGCAGGGTCAAGGCTTCTACATGCTTTGGTTCGGCTAGACGAACCGAACGAGTGTGCTCGCATACTCCCTTAAAAGACCTTCGCTTGAAAAAGTAGAAAAAAGCGGCAATATTTTGTCCATCTTGAGACGCCAAGTGAAGACCCTTGCCAGCTGGTCAGCTCATGCTCTGAGTACGCCTCCTGATATTCCGTCTGGCCCCGCGGCCTTGCGAATGTTAACCTGTTTAAAGGTCTTACTCACATCGGCTATGGAGAGGGAGATCACACAGTCGTCTGGAACAGCTGGTGCTCTTATGCATGGTGCGCTTATCAATGTTGCTTGCCTCAAAGTGAGCATAGAAGGCATTTACCTTGTCTGTTAGGCTTGCGTCGCTGGGCAGCTCGCGGCTGGGTTTCCCATTATAATCTGTGATAGTTTGCAAGCCCTGCCACATCCGTCGAGCATCAGAGCCAGCATAGTAAGATTCAATCTTAGTCCTGTATTGACGCTTTGCCTGTTTAATAGCTTGTCGTAGGTCGTAGTGGGATTTCTTATAAGTGTCTGGATTAGTGTCCCGCTCCTTGAAAGCAGCAGCTCTAGCCTTTACTCAGTGCAGATTTTGACTGTAATCCATGGGTTGTAGTTGGGGTATGTACGTACGGTCACTGTGGGGACGACGTCGTCGATGCTGTTATTAATGAAGCCGGTGACTGATGTGGTAAACTCCTCAATGTTATCGGATGAATCACGGAACACATCTAATCTGTGCTAGCGAAACAGTCCTGGAGCATAACATCCGCTTCATCAGACCACTTCCATAGTGGTACTGGTACTTCCTGTTTGAGTTTTTGCTTGTAAGCAGGAAGCAGAAGGATAGAGTTATGGTCTGATTTGCCAAAGGGAAGGCAAGGGAGGGGCTTGTATGCGTTTCTGTTTGTGCAATAAAGATGATCTAGAGTTTTGTCACCTCTAGTTGCACAGGTGACATGCTGGTAAAAAGTTGGTTAAACAGATTTCAGTTTCCCTGCATTAAAATCACCGGCCATGAGAAACGCCGCCTCTGAATGTGCATTTTCTTGTTTGCTTATGGCCCTATACAGCTCGTTGAGTGCGGTTTCGGTTTGTGGTGGTAAATAGACAGCTACAAAAAATATAGATGAGAGCTCTCTTGGTAAATAGTATGGTCTGCAGCGTATCATGAGGTATTCTAACTCAGACAAGCAAACCTCAAGACTTCCTTAACATTAGAGATCGCGCACCAGCTGTTGTCAATGAAGAGACACCCCCATCCTCCCTTCGTCTTACCCAAGTTTGCAGTCTGGTCTTGATGATACATAGAAAAACCAGCGAGATGTATATCCATGTCCTCGTTCAGCCACGACGCTGAGAAACATAGGGTATTACAGTTTTTCAGGTTGATAGGATAGTCTCGAATGGAGCTCATCCAGTTTGTTTTCCTGTGATTTCACGTTCGCCAATAGAACAGAGGGCAATGGCGGTCTATTTGCGCGCCGACTTAGTCACGTCAGGGATCTGGGTCGCCTGCCTCTCTTTCGCCGCAGCTTCCTCTTTCGAGTCCTGGGAATTAGGGTCTGGTCCGGAGTAAGCAGAACGTAGAAATGTTTGTCCAAATCGAGGTTAGTGATCGTTGTTCTGACGTCCAGAAGCTGCTTCCTTCATAGGAAATGATGGTGAAGACATTATATACAAAAGTTAGGATCATCGTAAAAAACACACAAAATTGCAGAATTGGTCAGGAGTATGTAAGACTGCTGCTATCCACTGCAGCGCCATCATGTTGGACATAAAATACTGTAAAATCACCAGGAAATCTGCTCAAAGTAGGGTTGGGCGGTACCTAGATTTTCATACTGTCATACCCTTTCTGTACCATACCGAGGTATACGGTATTACCGGAAGTGCACACAAAAGGCGCTATTTCTTAAAGAAAATAAATTCGGGCAACATGGATCTCGATCCAGGAGGGGATTGATTGTCTCTGCTGTAACCAAGAAGCTTGATCTTGCCACTTAGCTAACAAGTTAGCAAACCAAATGCATAGCTGAAGCCCTGATCTGGATATCATTTATTTGACACATCTAAGATAGTTATAGTTAGTTATAAGCAGTGGCATCGCATGCACCGATGGTATGTCTAAACAGCCCGGTATATACGGTATATCGCCCAAGCTTAGTTCAAAGTTAATTTTATTTACGAAATATGTTCCCAAGTATTCCCACGCATAAATAGAGAGCCATATGTGATCGTATCCCAATGTATTCAAGGTTTGAAATGATTCTGTTTTTGTCAAATACTATATCGGTTTGGGAATCAGTTTGCAGTGTACAAATTATTTAGAACTATGTTCCGACCCTCCACTCAAGGAAAAATCGGCCCATGGCTGATTGTAATTGGGGACCCCCGCGTCACATCCTCTGCTGGCCTACATTTACATTTACGTCATTTAGCAGATGCTCTTATCCAGAGCGACTTACAGTTAGTGAGTGCATACATGTTTTCATACTGGCCCCCCGTGGGAAACGAACCCACAACCCTGGCGTTGCAAGCGCCATGCTCTACCACCTGAGCTACACGGGGCCTACTGCCTCACTCTCTCCCCTCCTGTTCTTGTTGTAGTCTAGGTATTAATCAATAATGCATTGTGTACCACTACCACACACAAAAAAGAAGAAAGTAACTGCAACCTATGTTGTCCCTCTAGAATATGTAGTTGAAGTCGGAAGTTTACATACACCTTAGCCAAATACATTTAAACTCAGTTTTTCGCAATTCCTGACATTTAATCCTAGTAAAAATTCCCTGTTTTAGGTCAGTCAGGATCAACACTTTATTTGAAGAATGTGAAATGTCAGCATAATAGTAGAGAGTGATTAATTTCAGCTTTTATTTCTTTCATCACATTCCCAGTGGGTCAGAAGCGTTACATACACTCAATTAGTATTTGGTAGCATTTTTCCACAACTTTGGAAGTATTCTTGGGGTCATTGTCCATTTGGAAGACCCATTTGCGACCAAGCTTTAACTTCCTGACTGACGTCTTGAGATGTTGCTTCAATATATCCACATAATTTTCCTTCTTCATGATGCCATCTATTTTGTGAAGTGCACCAGTCCCTCCTGCAGCAAAGCACCCCCACAGCATGATGCTGCCACCCCCGTGCTTCACGGTTGGGATGGTGTTCTTCGGCTTGCAAGCCTTCCCCCTTTTCCTCCAAACATAACGATGGTCATTATGGCCAAACAGTTCTATTTTTGTTTCATCAGGCCAGAGGACATTTCTCCAAAAAGTACTATCTTTGTCCCCATGTGCAGTTGTAAACCGTAGTCTAGCTTTTTTATGGTGGTTTTGGAGCAGTGGCTTCTTCCTTGCTGAGCGGCCTTTCAGGTTATGTCGATATAGGACTCGTTTTACTGTGGATATAGATACTGTTGTACCTGTTTCCTCCAGCATCTTCACAAGGTCCTTTGCTGTTGTTCTGGGATTGATTTGCACTTTTCGCACCAAAGTACGTTCATCTCTAGGAGACAGAACGGGTCTCCTTCCTGAACGGTATGACGGCTGCGTGGTCCCATGGTGTTTATACTTGCGTACTATTGTTTGTACAGATGAACGTGGTACCTTCAGGCATTTGGAAATTGCTCCCAAGGATGAACCAGACTTGTGGAGGTCTACAAAATTTTTTCTGAGGTTTTGGCTGATTTCTTTTGATTTTCCCTTGATGTCAAGCAAAGAGGCACTGAGTTTGAAGGTAGGCCTTGAAATACATCCACAGGTACACCTCCAATTGACTCAAATGATGTCAATTAGCCTATCAGAAGCTTCTAAAGCCATGACATCATTTTCTGGAATTTTCCAAGCTGTTTAAAGGCACAGTCAACTTAGTGTATGTAAACTTCTGTAGGCTTCTTCCTTGCTGAGCGGCCTTTCAGGTTATGTCAATATAGGATATAGATACTTTTGTACCTGTTTCCTGGAATTGTGATACAGTGAATTATAAGTGAAATAATCTGTCTGTAAACAATTTTTGGAAAAATGACTTGTGTCATGCACAATGTAGATGTCCTAACCGACTTGCCAAAACTATAGTTTGTAAACAAGACATTTGTGGAGTGGTTGAAAAACAAGTTTTAATGACTCCAACCTAAGTGTATGTAAACTTCCGACTTCAATTGTATATAGTAAAGGCAGCAGTAATGCCTAAAAGTAGTGCTGTTTTGTGTGCTCCAGTTACCTTATCAGACAGTAACCCAACCAGTTTCTCTCTTAAAACTGAAATTATTAATCTTACTGACATGACTGATTTCATTGGGTAAATGTGTATTAATGTTATTGATCAGGGCCATACTCTCTCTTGGTCTCCTCCATTCCCTGGGCCAGATTCTTGAGCGGACATTAGAACCGTACAGTTCCGACGAGGAACCTCCCCCCGTCTACTCCCCGCCCACTTATGACATGCACATCTACGACAGAAAGTACCCAGAGGACCCACCCACTCCTCCACCCAGGTAAATTGTCATACTGTCACAGGAGGCTAGTGGGAAGAGCTATAGGAGGACAGGCTCTTTGTAATGTCTGGAATGGAGTCAAACACGTTGTTTGACGTGTTTGGTACCATTCCATTTATTCCGTTCCAGACATTACCATGACCCCTTCCTCCTATATGTCCTCCCACCAGCCTCCTCTGTCCTATACTATACAGTTCAACAGATCTACACAATGCCCAGAGAAGAGTTTAACCTATCAGTCGTCTGTCTATGGTAATACTTTAATCCTGTATAGAATATGGGCATCTCGAACATGCACACTGATTACTTTATGAAAGGGAGGAAGGAAGGATTCATGTTTTAAAAATCCCAACAGGAGCTTTTGTGCACATGCAACCCCCTAGCCTGTACTCTTTAAAGCCCAGAGGAACAGAGGAAGTGGTCCTATGGGACCCTGGAATTTACATGCTCAGGGGCCTGTGGAAATCACAGCCGACCACATGCTGTTATAGTTAGTCAAGGCTCCACCTGGTGGCCATTTTAAGAACTGTGCAATTCTGTCTCCAGCTGGTGTGTGTGCGTGCGTGCATGTTTGTGTAATTGGTGCTTGTGTATCACTGGACCAGTTAATAACAATCCTCCATGTAAATGAATTTGCATCAAGCCTCCGTGTCAATGATTTATGATTCATGACAATGTCCACATTTGTTCTGCTTCACGCCACCAGCTGAGAGATTCACAGTAATTTACTTCTTGGACTGTACAAAGTGGTGTGTTAAATGTGGTGACTGCTGCTCAAAGGGGATTTTATTGTAAAGACAAACATACATTATTATTTGTGTTTTCATGCATTGCTTACTTTTCACAGCATCAATACACAATGTGTGATGTGTACATTTAGTTTTATTCTAGTATGACATGGCATATGAATCTCTATCTAGTCTGATCCTAACCTTTGACCCTTGTCTGACCTAGGTTCGAGGCCCAGCCACCTCCAGGTCACCGGCAGGTCCGCAGCTACAGGAACTGGAATCCGCCGTTGCTTGGCAACCTGCCAGATGATTTCCTGCGGATCCTGCCACAGCAACTGGACAATATACAGGTACACAGTGGATGTGAAGAAAACCACACACACACAAAAAAATACATTAGCAGTATGACATCATCATTAACAGCAGGGTGACATCCTGCTTACAGAAATCAATAGCAACTAAATTCAACCTCTCTTTCTCCATCTCTCCTCCTCTAGGGCTCACAGAGCAGTCTGTCCCAGCCTTCCTCCATCGCCCAGCGGACAGCCCAGGGAGGTGTCTCCAGGCCAGCGGCTGGTGGAGCCCTAGGGGCCCCTGGAGGGCCAGGCGGTGCCGGGGGCGTGGCGGGGGCAGGCACGGAGCAGGAGCGTAAACTGAAACAGTACCTGGATGATGAACGCATCGCTCTGTTCCTCCAGAACGAGGAGTTCATGAGGGAGCTGCAGCGCAACCGCGAGTTCCTCGTCGCCCTGGAGAGAGGTGTGTGTCATGCACAGATAGGCATACATGGTCACCTGCATGATATACTTTTAACACACTGAATACATGTTCAGGACACAGTAGGCTAGTACAGTAGTCAAGTTTATGCTTTCTACGGAGCAAGTCCGCTACTGTTGAAAATGCTCTTGGGCGGCAGGTAGCTTAGTGGTTAAGAGCGTTGTGCCAGTAACTGAAAGGTCGCTGGTTCTAATCCCCGAGCCGACTAGGTGAAAAATCTGTCGATATGCCCTTGAGCAAGGCACTTAACCCTAATTGCTCCTGTAAGTCGCTCTGGATAAGAGCGTCTGCTAAATGACTAAAATGTTATGCTAGTTGCAAAGTCCCTTGTCTATATCATGATGTTTCATCCTAGTTGAAATTTGGGAACCATGTCCCACTTTCATAAAGGTTTCTTAATAATAATGTACATTAGATGCTGCTATGTGTCCCATATTGCGTCATAACATCCAGCTCTCTCTGTTTTAGATCGCTTGAAGTATGAATCAAAGAAATCCAAGTCCAATCATTCATCCGCTTACATGGAGAATTCCACAGCAGGTAGATGTCATTCATAAGCTTCACCAGTAATGGTGTGTGTGGATGTGCGTGTGTTTGCATATACACTACCAGTCAAAAGTTTGGACACACCTACTCATTCAAGGGTTTTTCTTTATTTTAACTATTTTTTACATTGTAGAATAAAAGTGAAGACATCAAAACTATGAAATAACACATATGGAATCATGTAGTAACCAAAAAATCATTAAACAAATCAAAATATATTTTATATTTGAGATTCTTCAAAGAAGCCACCCTTTGCTTTGATGACAGCTTTGAACACTCTTGGCATTCTCTCAACCAGCTTCATGAGGTAGTCACCTGGAATGCATTTCAATTAATACATTTGAAATTTGTGGAATTTCTTTCCTTCTTAATGCATTTGAGCCAATCAGTTGTGTTGTGACAAGGTAGGGTGGTATACAGAAGATAGCCCTATTTGGTAAAAGACCAAGTCCATATTATGGCAAGAACAGCTCAAATAAGCAAAGAGAAACAACAGTCCCCATCATTACTTTAAGACATGAAGGTCAGTCAATCCGGAAAATTTCAAGACCTTGGAAAGTTTCTTCAAGTGCAGTCGCAAAAACCATCAAGCGCTATGATGAAACTGGCTCTCGTGAGGACCGCCACAGGAAAGGAAGACCCAGAGTTACCTCTGCTGTAGAGGATAAGTTCATTAGAGTTACCAGCCTCAGAAATTGCAGCCCAAATAATCTCAACATCAACTGTTCAGAGGAGACTGCGTGAATCAGGAATTCATGGTCGAATTTCTGAAAAGAAGCCACTACTAAAGGACACCAATGATAAGAAGAGACTTGCTTGGGCCAAGAAACACAAACAATGGACATTAGACCGGTGGAAATGTGTCCTTTGGTCTGGAGTCCAAATTTGAGATTTTTGGTTCCAACCGCTGTGTCTTTGTGAGACGCTGTGTGGGTGAACAGATGATCTCTGCATGTGTAGTTCCCACCGTGGAGCATGGAGTAGGTGGTGTGATGGTGTGGGGGTGCTTTGCTGGTGACACTGTCTGTGATTTATTTAGAATTCAAGGCACACTTAACCAGCATGGCTACCATAGCATTCTGCAGAGATACGCCATCCCGAGTGGCGCAGCAGTCTAAGGCACTGCATCTCAGTGCTTGAGGCGTCACTACAGACCCCCTGGTTCGATTCCAGGCTGTATCACAACCGGCCGTGATTGGGTGTCCCAAAGGGCAGCGCACAATTGGCCCAGCGTCGTCCGAGTTTGGCCGGTGTAGGCCATCATTGTAAATAAGATTTGTTCTTAACTGACTTGCCTAGTTAAATAAAGGTTAAATAAAAAATTATATTTAAAAAATCTGTTTTGTGCTTAGTGGGGCTATCATTTGTTTCTCAACAGGACAATGACCCAACACACTTCCAGGCTTGTAAGGGCTATATGACCAAGAAGGATAGTGATGGGGTGCAGCATCAGATGACCTGGCCTCCACAATCCCCCGACCTCAACCCAATTGAGATGGTTTGGGATGAGTTGGACCGCAGAGTGAAGGAAAAGCAGCCAACAAGTGCTCAGCATATGTGGGAACTCCTTCAAGACTGTTGGAAAAGCATTCCTCATGAAGCTGGTTGAGAGAATGCCAAGAGTCTGCAAAGCTGTCATCAAGGCAAAGGGTGGCTACTTTGAAGAATCTCAAATATAAAATATATTTTTATTTGTTTAACACTTTTTTTTGTTACTACATATGTGTTATTTCATAGTTTTGATGTCTTCACTATTATTCTACAATGTAGAAAATAGTAAAAATAAAGAAAAACCCTTGAATGAGTAGGTGTGTCCAAACTTTTGACTGGTACTGTATGTGTGTGTTCATTCTTCTTCAAACACTCATATCAATGACTTGGGGTTTGTTTTGATAACATCACTTTATCACATCCAATATCTAGCCACCGATCTTTATCGCTTGCTACCACTGGGTATGGTGAAAGCTTCTCCAAGTAGTTGTTGACACCATAAGTAGCTTTCTCTGGACTGATTCATTTAGTATTTTATTAAGATCCCCAATTAGCCGCTGCCAGGAAAAAAATACGCAGCAAATAAAACACATAATATACAGGACATAACACGACATAATTTTGTTATTTTATTTATTTTTTACTTTGTTTATTTAGTAAATATTTTCTTAACTCTTATTTTTCTTAAAACTGCATTGTTGGTTAAGGGCTTGTAAGTAAGCATTTCACGGTAAGGTCTACACCTGTTGTATTCAGCGCATGTGACAAATACATTTTGATTTGATAATACAAATGTCTGTCTCTTCACAGACCCGTCGTCCCGTAAGGTTTTCTTTTATCTGTTTTTTTTTATTTGTTTTTATTGCTAACTTGCATTACCTGGGGTGGCAGAGGGTTCCATGTAGTCATGGCTCTATTTAATACTGTGCATTTCCCAGCCTCTGTTCTGGGACCTGGGGACTGTGAAGAGATCTCTTGCTGCATGTTTTGTGTGGTACCGATGAGTGTCCGAACTGTGTGCCAACTGCTTGAACAGACAGTTTGTTACCTTTAACCCATTAACACCTCGCACAAAGACCAATAGTGATGCAGTCAATCTCTCCTCAACTTTGAACCAGTTCGCCCTCCATGTACATCTAAGTGCAATACGTACTGCTCTGTTCTTGACCAACTGCAATTTTCCTATATCCTTCTTTGTCGCACATGACCACACAACTGGGCAGTAGTCCAGGTTGATTTAGATTAAAGCAGAGCAACACCTTATCATGGACAGACCTCTTCCCATTTTAGCAACCATTGAGTCTATATGTTTTGACCATGACAACTTGCTATCTAGGGTTACACCGAGCAGTTTAGTCTCCTCAACTTGCTCAATCGCCACATTATTCAGTAATAACTCTAGATGAGGTTTAGGGTTGAGTGGGTGATTTGGCCCAAAGACTATGCTTTTAGTTTGAGAATTGCTATTTTTGGGCAGCACAATGACCTTTGCCTCCCTTCAGGCCTGACTGCACACACCGTCTTCTAGGCTTAAATTGAAGATGTGCCAAACTCTTTCACACCAATTTTGCGGAACTCAAAACTACAGCGATTGTCTTTCATTATTTGGTCCGTTATGAATATTAGGGTTCAGCGTTTGTTGTTTGTATGTCATGCCTAGGGCTGTGGCAGTCATGACATTTTGTCAGCCGGTGATTGTCAAGCAAATAACTGCCAGTCTCACGGTAATTGACCATTAATTAACATAAACACATGTATTTATTTTAGACAGGTCTAAAGATGTAGCCTATTTCAGAAGAACAGAATAGCATACTCTGAGTTGTCCTTATGTTAGGCCCTTATCTGGCTATGCCAAATGGCTGTGGGCTACACTAGTTCATTTAGCAGATAATAATTATGTGGCATTATTTTCTAGTATGAAGAATTCAATTGAACAAAGCTGAATAAAAAAGAAAGGATATTTTCTCCAAATGATTTCAAAGTGCGGCTATTCTGTGTTGAGCGGTTAACAAAGAAACTGGTCCTTCCTATATGCTTAATTTAGAGTTATTTATGCAACTTTAGTTGTGATACAAGCGTTGGGCTATATGTTTAGATTTTTAATACATTCTAAGGCTGCATGATGGTACTGATGATTTGAAAAAAGTTGCATGAAAGGCATGAGCTCTGATTTGTTTGTTGTGCAGGCTGCACACACTTCATCAGTCTCTCATTCACAGTTTGACAAGCACTTGATAATATTCTCACCAAGCCTTGTATTTCCCAGCGGCATCCCCCTTGTGTGGCTGTTGTGCCCTTGGGCTGAATATAATAATTATAATTCCCTTCTCCCAGCTGCCGTGCTCCAAAGCACCTCTCACTCACATGGCTCTCTCCGATATCTCAATTCTTATTTGCCAATGCCCGTCACGTGATCGGGTCCTTCTCACAGGCAGTTCAGTTAAGAAGTAGGCTACAAGTGACAGACACATCGGGGCGCAACTGCGCGCATCCCTCTTATCGAATTCCGAGGCGCATCTTGAAGATGTTAGAACCGTCTACATTTAGCCTGCCTTTCGTCAGCCAACAAGATGAGAACAGCAAAACCACTAGCCTGTCAATCTACTATCCCCCATAGGACAAAAGTTGACCTATTCTATTGGTCAACTTGTCCTTCTGTGCAATAAATAAATATTCCAAACAAACTGGGACAGTTGTGGGATGCGATAGATCCCAAATTAATACAACCACTCACATCAAAAAACCTTTTAAAAGCAATGAGGCTGATGCAACAGATCAGAACGTTTAGCTTAAAATGTTGATAAACTATTAGGCTATTTCTTCACATTATAAGCGCAGAAATGCACACACTGCCTGCAGTAGGCTATAAGTGCGAATGTTCCAAAATGCAATCAATTAGCGGGAGAACACTGTTCTCGAATGTCACCGGCAAATGCAATTATGCATGTAATGCTTTATTAAAAAGCTTCCCCAAACATGAAACTCACGCGCAGCCTATGTATGCCATTTAGGCTCTACACCGGTTATAAAGCGGTTTAATGTACTTAATTTTAAGAAGTTATTTGGCCACTTTAGTTGTGATACAAACCTTATGAAACCATATAGGCCTATGGGCTAGGCTACATGAGGTGTGCGACTATGATTTAGAAAAGTCACACAAAAAAGACATGGGCTGTTTCTTGCCTTAATGCACAAGCTGGGCATCATTTCACAAGTGATAATACATCATTCACAAGTGATAGGCTAATATTGTCACCCATCAGACTATTCTTAATTTTTTATGTAGTCTTTACATATACTAAATAATATATGTGTAAAATTAGTTTTGATTTAGAATGGACGATGATCATCCACCTGATACATGTCCCGTGGTGCATGCGAAAACAAATACATGTCCCATGGTTCATTTTCATGCCAGCCAGGTAGGCTATACTCCTGTTGTAAAGCGAAGCGATGTGCTTAATATTAGAAAAGTTGATAAATAAATATAGTAGGCCTAGCC